TCGTGAAATTGTGTGTCCTACCTTCTCACACCTTCGGTGCTCGCATTGGGGGATCGTGTTAGATATAGGTGCCTGTGGCCTACTCCACTAACGAGTTTAGGGAGTGGTTCAAGGATAGAGATGATGTCCAGTACGGTGATTGGATAGGATAATGTTAGTTGATAAGATAGGACTGGACATCTTCTCTATCCCTGAGCTGGGTCTATGTCCCTCAGGGTACTGTCCCCTGGTCCCCTGGGGGACATAGACCCTATGAGCGGTACTAAAGCTGAAGGGGTCGTTGGCGTAGATGTAGTACTCGAGGTGTCAGCGAATATGTCGCGAATATAAAAATATCAACGACTGGTGCGGCGTAGGCTGTGATTGGAAGACACAAAGTGTCAATCCTCGGCGCGCCTCGGCATCATGGCCGCAACACGTCTAGCGCGCGTCTGACTTGCGCTAAATATTTGCAGTGTGTACACGCTATCCCGCTCCAAATACGCGCTGGCCCGCTCCAAGTTAGCTCCGCAAATGAAGCCGGGCCAGGCCTGGGCTAACTTAGTCCGGACTAAGATAGCCCGCTTGTGTGTGTGTGTGTGTGTGTACGCGACAAGCAGGCCAGATCGGGTGCTAAATCGCAATACGCATGCGCATAGCCTTAATTAGGTCACGTAATTGTACGCACGCTATACCTCGCTGTCTGCGGGGTGACGTGGCGAGCAGGGAACTGAGCGGTGGGAAAACTGATGACTCATTTAATGTAGGATCAAATATGCAGTCTGTACGCTACCATTTAGCGGCGTCAGACCCGGGCCAAGTTAGCCCGGCTCTGACGCGCGCTAAAATTCGTAGTCTGTATGGGGTATAAGACTAGGCGTATGGTGTCGTCACGGACTGGGTACAGTATCACTGTCAAAATGATGCTGTTTATACATGTATAATGATATATTTCTCGCGCTCATTAATTGGTGGTAATCTATATTTTATGTGTCAACCGATTGGTTAGACCAACGATGATGTATGGAAAGCAAAAAATCATTTTCAAACATTTCAAATACACAATTTTAAATCAATTTAAGACATTTCAAATTAATTAATAAAAATAAAAATTACTTTATATTGTTCAAGAAATTTAAATTCAAAATTTAAAATCAATTCACAGAACAATCAATTTATTAACTTGCAATTTAATTCATAACTTTCCAAAATAATTGCCTGATATACAAATTCCTTCACATCATTGTAAAAATTGATTTTCTAAACGTACAATTTATTTTCAAAACAACAAACCAATTTACTAACTTGCAATTTAATTGAGAACATGTTACATAGACTCACAAATGTTCAAATCTTGCTTCATCACCCTAACAATTGAAGTTATAAGTTTTAAATTAATTTACAGAATAACGAATCAGTTCACTAAGTTTGAAATTAATTTATTACTTTTAACATTAATCACCAGAAATTTGCGAATCTAACTGTTGGTTTCAGACTTGTGTAGGATGGATACGCTTGGATCATCCAATACTATAGCGTATCCATCCGAGCTGAAGCATCCGGGCACTTTTAAAATGAATTGATTTGGAGTTTGGTTTGTAGTTGGCTGGTTCGGAAAGTGTAGTGAATAGGGGAAAGTGGGGTAA